ATTATTACATATTAAGAAATACTCGTACGCTCAAATCGAAAGAAATCAGGCACGTGTCTACTTCGGTAATGTCCACAAAGTATTACGTGAGAGGTTATAACAGAATGACGCAACAGTTGCGTGAAATAACCTTTATGCTCGTATAATGGCGAAATACGTGTATACACGCGACGAGGCAAAAGTATGAAGAAATTTATATAGTACAGAAACTGAATCGGGAAAGTCGTTTATTTTTGTAGACGAAAAAGCGGATAGAAAAAAAAAAAAGAAAAAATCAAGCTCGATTAGATAATTGAGTCGATCACGCTCAAGATGATGATGCATCGTGTCATCATTTCGTAATTACATTTCACAAATCAAGCTTGTTGATAAGCTTTTACAATAAGCTATCGTGAATATCATGCCCACCAGGACGCGACGCCAATGGGATGATAATACCAGAGCGTCTCTTAACCTCTCTGTGGCCGAGGGGCTCTCTGTATTTTAATTCGACTATTTTCACTGTGTCCCGTTCTTTTCTCAAGTCGATCGTACCACAAACCGTATAACAAACAGTTAGAATGATTTCACGTATAAATCGAACATCGCGTTCGAAAGGTCAATAGATTTGGACGAGGATGGTTTTGTCACGGATAAAGCATGTTCACGTTTCGTGACTCGAGAAGGAAAAGTGCGCAGCCATGGCGCTATTTCGGGCGAGACCGCGATTAAAATTAGCGTGGCGTGTCTTCAAAACGCCACATACACCGAGACGCGTTCCGCCCTTGGAACAAGTCCAATTGTCTGACTTCTATGATATGGTAGATGCTGCGTTAACCTCTTGCGTTGGCAACTGGTTCACGGACCATAACGAGTGACCAAACCGTATACACAAATAATTCGTCGCTTCCTTTTTGAACTACCGTCGGTACGATATCACTGGATAGAAATTATTACTAAGAAGCGATGAATTTATTATTTGTTTTGCCTGGGTTACATTTAAATATACTTAAAACTGAAGAAATATAGCAATTTTCGGACAAAAGGTTCTCGACGTGCGTCATGTTACTCCAGCGCAAGAGGTTAACCTTGTTAACGTTGTTTGTAATTTGTTAGGAATATACTACGTCAGATGACTGTATTGTATTATTTTAAATTACTTTACCACTGTTATCACAAAGTTGTTACATCGTTACGACAATTTCGTTGTTTCACGAATATAGTTAAGTAAAATTAAATCTGAATCGTGAAACTTTCAAGGAAAAGAAAGATCTTCGAGGAAAGGAGTTCGCGTACGAAGTGTAAGCGCACAGCAAATGACGCTAAACAGTCCATAAATTTACATGAAAACTGCTAGACTGCTAGACAGACGTGTGTATGTACGAATGATGTAGCTTGGGATGTCTAGTCTAGGCTGACGATTGCTTAAAATAACTATCCGGTGGAACCCCAAAGGTAACCTGATCCATGTTTGACTATTTTTTTCCCCCTTTCTTCCCTGTTGTGTTTATTTAGCGTGTCGTATTTAGTTCCATGAAATTCGACAAATTCACTTCACGCGTGAAGTGAGAAGCCACTGGTTATATGTTATATCCACTAATGCACGTTTCAAGTACGAAGAAGCACTGCGCACGCGCACGTTGGTTCCATTGGCGTATTATTCAATATTATTTGGCAATAAAATCATACAATTTTTTTTCTTTTTTTTCTTTGCCTCAGGAATTGATGATGCAACGGCGTCTCATTGGAATACACACGAAGAACCACTGTCAGGCATGTACGTTTCCCAGTCATTAGCACTGATAAAATATTATTTTTAATCCCAGCTGAGAGCGATTACATGGAATTTATATTGAACGTATTGGCGTTATCTGGCGAGTCTATCGTTGCAAAAAAAAAAGTAACATATTTCAGTGCGATGATCGTTTCAATTTCAATTATGATGAAAATTCACTCCTATTGTTAATTCCCTATCAATCGGCGCTGATAACGAAAGGTCGTGGGTTATTGGAAGTTACGTGTGGAAACTAGACTACGACTAATCCGATAAGGTTAGAAAACATACGAGTCCTTGACTCATCGCGCGGCCGGCAGGAATTTCACAAAATTATTACCAAGTCGGTAACTATCCGCTGGCTAATAAATTCTTTCCCGTGGTAATTGATTGATAAGCTCGTGTGTTTAGGATGCTATGAAAATACATATCTGTGAAATTAAAATCGAAAATGACTTATTTAACGAGAGATATTTAATCGAAATACGAAAGCAGAAAGATGCCTTGGCTTGGTTGGAAAAACATTGCGTGACTTTATCAGCCTGCTACCAGTTAACGCCAGATAAAAAAAAAGAAATATTTCTCACTTTTTAATTTTTGATGTAAACTTGCTTAAAAAAACTTGGTTAATTAAATCGAATCATTTGGTTCATCTGCGTGGAAAGCCGATTTATGCCGATCCGAGAAATTATGTCAATCGATCGTCACGTTAACGCGAACTAATACCACCACTGATAAGAAGAAAATCAAACGCGCGTGTAAATTATTGTTTTTATCGATTGCTTCAACATTTGCTGTTGATAACGCCATTCGCACCAATTATGCAAATCGTTTCGTTGCATAATAGATCGATATATACGTAAAAAAAAAAAAAAGTACACAGCGGTTTAGATTGAGGATAGCGAATGAGAGAGAAAAAGAGAAAGAGAGGAGAAATATTATGTACAGCGGTGAAACTTTAATGACATTCCAGTGACTGAAATCTTCGAGTATGCCTGACCTATGATAATGAGGCAACAACTTATCACAGGACACAAACTAATAAGATTGGTTATTATTAAAAACACACCGTTGGTTTATCTTTTTATTATCAACTTTCTTGTCAACATGATAATTTTTTTACACGCCAAAGAGCCCGACAAATTGCTGTCCTTTTCTTTTCTCTTTCCCTCTTTAAATAAATAAAACTTCAGTTTTTTTTTTTTTTTTTTTTTTTTTTTTCTTTCGAGAAGTACAAGCGTTCAATAGAACCGGTTCACCTTTGCGGACTTGTGTGTGTGTGTGTGTGTGTGTGTGTGTGTGTGGCACAAATAAAAGAGAGAACAAGAGTCGAGAATCGCATACTCGAATCATTAGAGAAGCCGGTTAGCGAAATTTGAATATCTTCTTTTTATAGCGTCAGCTTCTATCACGAAAGACGGTCGTGTGTCATTAAAGAACAGCCTTGAGAAATATGTGCTAATCCTACTCTTTGGACGCCTCCTTGTTAAAGAGCACGCACCATCATCTTGTCGCTGGGATTGCAAAAACAGGAAGGCATCCGACGATATTAATGACGAATCGCAGATGATGAGAAAGATAGTTTTTGAGAGCATATACGTTTCATGGCTCGTCGTAAAGTAATTGGAAAAAAAAAAAAA